AAAAAAAAAAAGCGTTTATCAGTTCCAGAAAAGTACTCGGTCTTGAAAACCACGATAACCCTCGGAAATTGCTCCAGTTGATGACGGTGAAGGAATTCAACCTGACTCTTGCATAGTTCAATAGGAGAGTGCTGGAACAGTTTTGCTGGAAAGGGGGAAATACTACAAAAAAAAAAAATTTTTTTCATCTTGATAATGCGTAGAATTGTATTCACATCAACAGCAGATCCAACACTGTTTTTGTACTCTCTGTTGCTGACTTATTGGTTTCGTTTTTTTACTTTTTCTGCTTTATTGGACATCAGGTAAGAGGTAATGCTTTGACTAAACTTCAAAATTGGTGCAGTGATCATGGGGGAGGGGGAGGGGGAGAAAGTTTTGTTTCCTGCTTTTTACCATTCATTTTAAGAACTTCAGTCGGGTTGGGTAAATGTGGAAAGGGGCTAGCAAACATAATGAGCATACGGCTGTTAGTTACAAAAACCGTTTGGAATAGGAATTGATTATTTTGTATTGGTAAGCTTCTTAGTAGGAAGAGGTCGATAGACAGGCTTGATGTCGATATAGTGCTTCATCAGTTTGCCTGTTTTGCCACAAACATATCTGAGAAGATGTGGACGGCAGACAAGCTTGAGGATTACGGCAGAAGAGGAATCAGTATGGGGATCTCTAACTAGAGCAAATCAACATAGGACTTTGGCTACAAACTGAATTGTACAAAAGTGAGTAAGAGGAGTGGAAAGTGTATCAGTAAGCTGTTGAGAAAAAGTGAGATTTTAATGGATTTTGCCAAGGCCAGAACTGGTGAACAGAGCGTAATGAAAAATCTATTATGCGAGACGAAAAAGTTGGAGAAACTCAGATATTTTGGTACTCAGTAACGGAGGACGATACTCAGTTTTTTGTGAGGGAATCATTTAGGACATGTAGGCAGTTTAGCTGGGGAATTCATAATTAAATGAAAATGGTATTCCAGTTTCGTATAATCTCGTGAAGAAGCGTTATTGCACTGATAAAGCTTACCAGTATGGAATTAAATTCCTTCTCTTTTTTGAAAGACGATTTTTGTCTTAGATAGATTAGGGTAAAAACAGTATCCAAAATTAGGTTGTCTTGTAACTATCGGGTGTATGGGTTTCTCAGTTTTCTTAGTGAAATTGGTTGCGGAGGAAGGAAGAATAACGTGATCATTATAACGAGTGAAGATTTTGAAGTTCTTGTTCGGTATATTTTTTAATCCACAGGAGAATGTTGACCTGTAGTAGTCTTATCTTAGAATGTTGTTAGCTTCTTACGTCTGTTCATTTATTGTTATCAATAGGTTAAGGTCATGTTTCATTTCTGTCACTGCCGCATTGATGTTTTCGCGGTTTATTGGCGAATTAAAGATGGAGTGAAGCGGCGTTGTTTAGTATAACATAGTGTTTAATGTCCTCATATTAGTCTTCATTGTTAGTAAAAGTTCGGAATAACTTTGTAGAAGATTTTTACTAGAAGGTTATTTTTTGTCGTTGGATATTTTGCTTCATAGAAATTATATTGTAATTTACTTAGGTTAAATAGATTTTCAAAGAGTTGGTTTTTACTGTATTCACTGTTTTGGTTTTCCGGGCCTGCTTCAAAGGTTGGTAAAACAGTTGGAAAATTTCTTTTAAAGGGGTCATTTCTCCACTTCAATTTTGTAAGTTTAATGCTCTAGTGGGGGTGATGTTATGCAGAAACTGCTGATTTTGTACGTTTTGATCAGGAATAACTTGGACAGTGTATTCAGCTGACGATGTTCATTTTTTTTCTATTTGATTTGTTGTTCAGATATAAAACGTTGCCGTTGTCTTATCTTTCGGGGGAGTACTTTGAGGATCGCAGCCGAATTTTTGAAGGTTCGGTGGTATAAACTTCATCGTGATAAATATGTGTAAGTAGTAAACGCTGCTAAGTTTTATGAAAACTAAGAAAAAGTTGGTTTGGCTCAAAGTTGGGTGGTTAATAGTATTCAATTGCGTCTGTTTTGACAGTTGAGTTTTAACTGTTATGTGTATTATTGAAGCTTTCTTTTTTTTGAGTTGTACGAAAGTGAATGACGTTCTTCTTTCGCAACACATTTACCTCAATTTTTTTCACTTTTCTAGCTGACATTGGTTTTGAGCAAAAAATGTTTTGTAGTAGATGTTTGGATCTTTTATGGTATTGTTACAAATGTGAGAGTTTTCATTTTCATCAAAGATTTTTCTGTTTTCTTTTACTAATATTGGCCGCATTATGAATTTACAGTGTAATTTTGAGACCGGGCGTTCAGAAAAGGGATGTTTGGATTGTTTTTCTCAGAATTATCGCATTTTTATATGTTTTTTGGAATATTTATCGGAAAGTACTTCCAAATCTTATTTTATATCAGTTAGAATTGCAGTGATTCTAATTTCTACGTTAAAAAGTTTTTTGGAAATGTTTGTAAAATTGCAGAAGTTTCTGGATTTAAATGACGGTCTTCAAGTTCAAAAGGCATTCAGTGAGCTAAATAAGCCAACAAAAAGCTATTTTCTTTGCGTTTTACTTTTTGTAACATTGATTTTTTGGGAATCTGTTTCGATGCAGTTAGCAGAAAAATAATGTTTTAGATGGAATGAAATATAGTGGGCAATTTGATAGTTTTGCTGACTTCCGTGGATCATTTTATGTTACCATTTTTGTACATCTGCGGCTATGTATCATCGGGTAGGGAGTTTCTGAGTCTTTTGACTGCCGTGTAAACGTATCTTTAGAAACTTTCATATCTTAAAACTACATTTTTGCTGGCAGCACAATTGATTAGCAGCTATCATTTGACATCTTTAGCAGGGAATGGACTGCTATTACTCAAAATTTGACAGAGATATAGTATTCTTTTCGAAGTTGCGAAACTAGGTAAATTACAAAATAAATTTTTAAGAAATCGTGAGATATTGTAAAAATTTTTTTGAAAAGCTTTTTCTTAAGTAAAGAGATGGCAACTTCTATTTATCATTCGCAGTTGTAGGGTTTCCCGTAGAACATTTTTCAAACGAATTTGTTAAAAGTGAAGTTGCTAATAAAGTATAAAGTATTAAAGTAACGTTTAATGCTGTATGTTATCCGTTTTATGTATTTAATTTTAGAGTACTACTTTTATTTGTTCTGCATTGACGGCCAAGTAATTTTTTTTGTTTTTTAAAATGCATATAAATTTCTTCTTATTAAGGAAAACATGGGTGAAGCATGCACTGCTGATTCCGTGCTTACCTCGGCTGCGAAGGTAAATTCTGAAAACCTTTAATGTTGTCAATATTTGAAGTCTATTACTTCCTTCCATAAAAATTTATACTTCTAGATGGTTTCGGAAAGGAATAGCGAAAATTCACCACAGTCTGCCAACGATTCAGGACATGAAAGTAATCCGTCTTCTTCACCAGAGCTTTCACTTACTCCTGATGGAGAGCGCGCTTCATCTCCAGGTCATTATTAACTTTCATTATTTTTAATGAAGTAGTCGGAAATTGCGAAATTTAAAAAAAAAAAAATGTGTTGGTCAAGTAGTTATACAACTCAGTTGAGTTATCAGTCCACTTTTAAAACTGAGCTCTTATATCACCGGGTTAATTAGGTTTCCGAAGTAATGGTACAACCAGTAAATGTAACTGGTTGGGATTATTTTTCTTATTCTCAATATTTTAATTATAATATCCAGATCTTGAGAATGAGTTAAATTTAGGTTTTATAATGAAAAAAGCTAACTGTCTGTTGGGGAGGCTTTCTGTTATTGCATCGGTAAAGGTCTTGTTACTTTTGCCAGTACCTGATTGTGGAATTCTTTCTGCTACTTTCACCTGACAAGTAGTTTATCCAATACTTGAAGTTTTTTTAGTAGGAAATATGAACTTTGCTTTTTTGCTCTATTATTCTTGGAATGTTTTGTATTACCTCGTTTCTACTTCATGGCCGGAGGCAGCTAATTTGAACTGAATTTCTGTATATTACTCATTTCATATTTTTTAGCTTGATAATTGTTTTTGCTGCTGTTTTTATATTTTAAAGACATACTGAGAAGTGATTGGGGTTGGTTTGATCCTATAGCAGTTTTAAAATTGTGAAATAACAGTCACATTTTTTCATACGGCTAAAGGTGCGAAGCTAAGCAGGAATTAATTTCTATTTTTCTGTTCTGGAAAGTTGTTTGAGTTATTCTATTTCTTTTTTATATTTCACGCTTTTCTGCATACCGCTTATTTGAAAAACTTTCTATTTTTTAATTATCGTACTTTCCTGATTAAATCTATATGTTTTGGTCAATAAACTACAAATGATCTTTTTAGCGGGGAAATCGAATGAGGAAGATGGCAGTGGGCTTCTCGGGGACACTATGTTTCGTATACAAATCGTGGCTCCAGGTTCTGAACCTTTTGACTTACAGGTGCTTTTTCTATTTGAAAATTGCTCTGTCGCTTTATTCATTCTTCAGATAGTGTCTGCAGGCCTAACCTTTTATTATGCTGGGTTGGAAGATTTTTACAATTCCTTCTGTATTTGTTTTTCGAATCAAATATTGTCGAAGAAAATTTTTTTGTTTTTAATAACCAGTAATATTTTTTTTAAAATTTTTGTTATGTAGCTATTTGCAGGTCAATTCTGGAGAAATGGTTCAGGAACTTCATCAGGTTCTTTTAGAACGTGAACCAACTTGTCACCGTACGTGTTTTAGCCTTCAGCTGAACGGTGTAGCTCTAGACCACTTTACAGAGCTCAAAAATATTCCTGGTTTGAGAGATGGGTCGGTACTCAAGGTTGTTGAAGGTATTATAATAGTTGATTCAAGAAATTTTTATGACTCGTAATTTTTGAGAGTCTTAAAGCATTTGTTTTGGTTTACTTTCAGGGTGTTTTTTTTTTTTCAAAAAATTTTTACTTTGTTTCGTTTTGTTTCAAATTGCGATTGTTAGAGCCTTATACCACGAGAGAAGCTAGAATTCATCTACGTCACGTTCGCGAACTAGTGCGATGTTTGGATACTGCAGATGCAGTGAATGGCTCGGAAGGTGCATCACTCTCTTACTTGTCCTCTATGACTCTTGGAGATCGCAAAAAGTCACTTGATAGGTACTCTTTTTTGTTATTTTGAAGTAACAGAGATGAATTAACAATAGATAAAGGAAGTAGGAAAAGGTCGTTTAGGTCTTTGGAGTGCTCTCCTCCGGATTATATTTTGCCGAATCATAAAGAAAGATTATTGACACCTATTTTGGCTCCAGCAACACAGTCGGTTTGCGCGATAAAAAGCATAGCTATTTCACCATATAATCCTCCCCCTGGGCCTAGAAAAATGAAGGTATATTGCCGGTTTTAACTGTTATAATTCTTTTCATTTTTTATTATACGTGGTACATTATAGTTTTTAAGTTAACTGAACTTTTGCTTTAAGGGTGATGTTTTGTACTTGACTGCAGACACTCGTGAAGGTCGGCGTTACCATATTACATGTTGCACTCGTGGTTTCTATGTAAACGCCACTACAGATGCTGGATTCCGTCCTACACCTTCTCCATCACACAAAGCAATCCATCATTCTTTAATCGATCTCCTTTCATCTGTTAGCCCCATATTTAAGAAAGCGATCTCCTTCATTATCAAAAAGCGAGCCGAGAAGCACATTTTTGAAAGACTTCCTACTCCTTATCAGGTAGTACTTTATCAGAGAAATCGCTTGCTATCGAGTCTTGCATGGCACTGGTTTTCTGGTTGATTACGACCTTCGTTTCTCATGTTAAAGTGTCATTCAGGTGAATACTTGGGTGGCTCCATCATTTGAACAGAAGGAAGATGCAATTAGGGCAGAAGATGGCACACAGCCACATAGAATTGGTTTAGAAGATCATATTCCTGGTCAGATACGGGATTGGAATGAAGAGTTGCAAACGACTCATGAACTGCCACGCGAATCTTTGCCGGAAAGGCTCATCCGTGAGCGAGCTGTATTTAAAATTCACAGCGATTTCGTTTCAGCAGCCGTTAAGGTAGTTAGGGCCAATTTTTAACGGCATATGATAGGTAGCACTGTGTAAAAGGAACTGAAATATTTAGGGCGCCATGTCTGTAGTTGATGGGAATGTAATGGCTATAAATCCAGCTGACGAGCCACGCACACATATGTTTATTTGGAATAACATATTCTTTTCACTAGGTTTTGATGTAAAAGACCATTATAAGGTTAGCATAATCTTACGGTTTTAAGAAAGAACAATAGTAATAAACTTTCCATCTTAATATTCTCTTCTTTATCTTAGTTTTGCTTGTTGTTTTTTGGCAAGCACATCTTTTCATTCTTTATTCGTCTTGATAAAAACCCACGAAATTTCCTTTTTTGTAGGAGCTTGGGGGTGACGCGGCGGCGCATGCAGCTACTTCTAATGATTTGCAAGGTGTGCGGGCATATGCACAGTTGGATACTGCAAAATTATTCACGCTTGGCATGGTTATTGTGGATTATAAGGGTTATCGGTAAGTTAGTGCTTCTGAAAAAAGCTTCACCAGCCGACTCTTAGAAAATGATATGCGCTTTTCAATTATAAATACTATCAAAATCATTGGCGACGTACATTTAAGGGTAACGGCTCAGTCAATCATTCCTGGAATTTTGGAACGTGAGCAGGAACAGAGCGTCGTCTATGGTTCTATTGACTTTGGAAAAACAGTTGTCAGTTCGGAGGTGTGGTTTTCCTTGCATAATTTTTCACCAACTTAATTTTTATTTGTTTAAAAAAAAAGCCACATCTGGTTTTGTGTCTTTGGCAATCAATGGTCTTAGAAGCTTATTTTCCTTCTAGGAATATCATAAATTACTTGAAAAACCTGCAGAACAATTGAAAATTTTGCCGCATGAAGTATATAACGGAAAAGAGGACAACCAGCCAGTAAAATTATATTCTTCCTTTGAAACAAAGGTAATTTTTTCAATACGATATTGTTTTTGGCAGTAAAATTCTATTGTAAAGTAACTGTAATATGAATTTTGACTATTGGTCCACATTTTTTTTAAGGGAATCATAGGGAACGATGGCCGACATTATATTCTTGATTTGCTGCGCACATTTCCCCCGGATGTCAACTATCTTGAAGGCGCTGAGGTAACTGACGTTTGCAAGGCAAATGGTTATCCTCGCCCATTCCCTCACAAGTTGGCATCGTTGAGACAGGAATTAATCGATGCCTTTGTCGAGTAATCAAAATTTTATTCTTTCGCATATAGAGATGTTTTTACTGAATTAATTTAAATGCTTTTTTGAATCTAACTAGTCTTGCTGAAAAGTATTGCCTTAATAGTTGTAAGTCTTTGCGACTATGTTGAATTTTAAAGTCTTCAACTGCTAGAATTTGGAATTTGAATGTCACAAGGAGTACCTTCATAAATCTTCTTTGAAGAAGTCTACCAAGGTTTTAGAAGTAGTTTTTGGTTTACATTAGTGAATTAGATGATTTTACAAAGTTTACTTACAGCTTTCGGTACCTGATGTTTGTTCGTATTGCTGCCTGCCATATGCAACAGCTTCGTAATA